GGGACGACATCAAGACCTTCCTCCTCGCCGGCCACGAGACCACCGCGGCGATGCTGACCTGGGCGACTTATGAGACCCTGCGGCGGCCCGACCTCCGCGCGCGGGTGGTGGACGAGGCCCGGGCACTCTTCGACGTGGAGGGGTGCGCGCGCTGCGTGCGGACGCCGGAGGGGATCTGCGGGGTCCCCTCGCGCGAGCGAATCGAGCGGCTGGTCCACACCCCGGCCATCCTGCGTGAGGCCCTCCGCATGCACAGCGTCGTGCCGGTGGTGATGCGGCGGGCCGTCCACGACGACGTCTTCGCCGCGGATGAAGCCGGGCTCCCTAGAGATGTGCATCTTCCCGCCGGATGCGTCGTCGCCATCGGGATCGAGGGCGTGCATAAAAACCCAACAATCTGGCCCGACCCCGACCACTTCAACCCCGACCGCTTCCTCAACGTCGACCCACCCCAGGCGATCGACCCGTATGGGTTTATTCCATTTATTAACGGGCCGCGGAATTGCCTTGGGCAGCACTTCGCCCTCGTTGAGGCCCAGGTCGCTCTCGCATTTATGCATTACCGGTGGGATTTAGCCCTCTTCCGCGACCCCGCCACCGACGGGGATGACGAGACCTGGCAGAAGGAGATCGGGCGCCATCACGACTACATCATTCCACAGGTCCCTCATGACGGGTTAAAGGTTACAGGGACACTCAGAAGCCAACTAGGTTGAGGAGGAGTCGTTTAGTTATTTATTCATTCAATACCTCATTTGCCAACATGCATTTACACATCAAAGAATCTCCTATTCATTCTATAGTGAAATTATAACGAGAACTGTTCTCCTTGAATTCTATTTGAATGCAATTTCAAGGATGTCTCAGTAAGTAATTATATATATATATATGTATATGCATATATATATTCTTTTTTTATTTAAATAAGTTTGAAGTTGCTAATATTGACAAAAAATTCCAACCGTGTATATTCACATTGTTTAATATTTTTATAAACTTTAGTTAGTAATTTATTGCTTAGGTATTTTCCTGTGTTTGTTGCATTACACTTTTGAGAGGTTTTCAAGGGAGCTTCTCGCTGTACTAATTACAGCAATGTAGATAAATCAAATAATGATATTGAAATTTTATTTACCATTATTAGACTGCTTCCAAAGTCATTATAAATAACCAAAAAATGAAAATGTTCAATAAAAGTATCGTGATACTCGAGTAAAGTATTCCTATTTTTTTTTTGTTCCGCTTAACAACACAAAAAATTGATGATATATATATGTGTATATATATTATTTTGTGTTTCTATTTCGAGCGCTTTTGGAGATCCCTTAAATTCCGAGAACCATATGACCTTCACCAGCTCTGTGGTTTCGGTAATACGCCACTTGAATCGTCAAAATCAATTTTCACTTAGATTTAAAAACGTTTTGATCGCGTGCGATGCGGATCCTCTTGGGTTATGTCGCTGGATTCAACACCGTAAACGAGGTACACCACTTCATTCCCCGACATCTCGCGCTGTGGCGAAGTATTTCAACACTGATAAATTCCCCGGAGGTTCCACCAGGGAACTGCTTTCGGGTAATTTCTCGCGTCCTTCGTCATCACTTTCGACTTCCAACGCCGTTGACGATATTCAATTCATCGTTTTAGGGGCTCCAGAGGGGGGAGGGGTACGTGAAAAGGTAGATTCCAGTGAGCCTATTACGCACCTTCCGATTTCCTTGGAATCTTTGGCGTGTTTGATACAACACACGTCTAGGACTAGGAACATTCAGAGGAATGCGAGCGACGCGGAGCGGATGGATCTACTTCAGCTTCCGAGCGGCACCCGCGATATCCACCCTTTCCTAAGCGAATGTGTAAAGCTTCTTTTGCCTCCACGAAGCGTGGATTTAATGATTGTGGACTTTCCGCTTCGAAACTTAGGATCTTTTATTCAAGACTCTTTGGTAGTGAGCTCTTTTCTTCTTTCACCGGATAGTTCTCTGTTGTTTGTGTGTTCCGCGGACTCAGGGGATAATAATAATAGTAATGTGGATGCGTCGTCGTCCGCTGCGGATTTGAAGCGTTTTGCGAAGCTCAAATTTCGTGAATCCTACTGGAGGTCTGTGGATGGAGGAACGAAGTATTTTTATGGCACTTCTACAACCGTCGTTGGGGAAGTCGGACGCGCGGTGAATCGGAACGACTTTCCTGGATTCTTGCCTAAAGGAAAGAGGCGCTCGCGACGGTGGAACCCTTATGAACGACACAAATATCACAAAGTTAAATTTATTGGATCATCTTTTACTGAAGCTCGAAATACTAAAGAATCACTTCAAAATCTGTTAAATCGACAACAGGAAGAGGAAGATACGCTGGCGAGGAAGAGTAAGGAACTTTTCGAGGTGTCATTTGAAATGGTGGAAAAACAGTCGTTTTATTCCAAGCGTGATGACTAAAGAGTGTACATTAATCTACAAGGATTCACTATTAAATTTTGATATTGCATACAGTGCAAAGAGGTATTATGCACATGAAGCAATATAATAATGTTGAGATTGGGTTACAAACGTAGCTACCATCTTTTTAAAAAGTTATTCAAAAGAAAAAAACAATGATAACAAGAATTATTTTGACTTAACTTTTTGAGTTTATTTTTTTTTTTAGTAACGTTTCTATTTCTACTCTTGACGACGGAGCTAATTTTTTACTATTCATTTTTTCGAAATAAGCAATAAGGAATTCAGTTTGTTCTTTTTGCAAGAATAAGTAGATCTAACATATAACACGAAAAGTAAAACATATTATTTACTGATATAAAGACCTGTGAGTTCCCAAATGCGTTTGGTTTCAGCGTCCTTTTTGGCATTTGCCTTTTTTTCGTTTATTATTATCCTCGGAAATAACGTGGATGCGGCTGAGTTGCCTGCGAAGATTTACAGCCAGCTTGGCGGTGAATGGAATGTGGAGGTGGTCTCGCCTTGTACATCTTTTGCTGACGGGAACGTGACTTTTTTGAACGAGTCTGCCTCCATTAATTGGATGAATACCAAGCTCAAACATCTGTCTACAAAGATTATCAGCGCCGAGGAGGATGCGGATACGCTCAACCTCGATGGTTTTAATCTGTTCCTTGTCAACGGGAGACAAGGTGTTTCGTACACGATTTGCGAATCCCAAACGAACCATCTCGAAACGACATCTCGTCCATATTACGAGGCGGGCAGGACGTCTACCACGCTGACGCAGTATTCTGGTGTTATGGACGGCAACTGCGACCTTGCAAACAAGCGAACTTTCTTTATTCGCACCTTGGGTATTCCAATGGAAGGCAAAAAGGTAAGTGTGTTGAAGCAAAAGGAGGTACTGCAGTATGTTGAGGTGCTAATGGATATTCAAGAATTACCAAACACATGTTTTGTCAAAATTGTTGAAGAGGCGGAGGAAAATAAGTCCCGCTCAGCGAAGCGTCGGGGCCTACGTGCTGGTGCAGGAGAATTGGACTCACTTGATGTGTTTAGTAAAAACGGTCAGGTATCTATTCGGTTCACGAAGAAATCACCATCTAAACTAACTTTTTATGAGAAATATAAAGCCTCGTTTATGTTTGTCGGAGCGTTCTTAGGGTTTAGGATAGTCAATAAAATCGTCCAGCATAAATTCTCCCGCTAAACATTCGTGCTGATTTGATAAACTAAGCTATTTTTCATCCTTTTCATTATCGAATATAATTCTAACATTATTATCCTAACAATTGAGTGACATTCCTCGCCATCATAATATTGGTCCTATGCTGGTGGTACCTGGGATGGTGATGAACTCATGCGGTCCACTGCGATGGGCGTCTGATACTGAAATTCTTGATACATTTTGTTTGATTCATCTATTATTTTGCCTGGTTCGTTATCTGAATTTTTGAGGTGTAAACTGAATATAAATAAACTTAAGGCTAAAATGGATACTGCGAGATCAATCTCTGTAGAAGAGCGCAGTTTTTTTTCCTACATTTTAGATCAGCAATGGATTTTATTCGCTCTGTTAGGACTTATTGCAGTCTCCTTAAGGCTTTACAATTTGAAGCAGCGCACGCAGCATAACAAATTACTTCGAGAAACAATCATGGTCGAATTGGGCTATAATAAAAACGTACAGAAAAAGAAAAACGTGTAATACTTTTGAAGAAGCAAGTGTCTTTTGTGCAATTGTTATTGATAGTAGCCGAACTATATTGTGTAAGCCCATCAAAGTCATGGAAAATTTTCTAATCAAGGTGTGTATGTTGTAATAATTAATATTTCATCCCTTTCCGCTTTCCATTATTCCACATCTGTGTCGAATCTTTCCCTGTTTCCTTATCCATGCGCAATTCCTCTTGTCTTACTCCCACTTTATATTTACACCGTAGGTTAGCCATTAGCTGCGATGATGTCGTACCTTTCTATTTCAGGGTTAGATCCAGAGGAACTGGATGAGGCGTTGGAAAGTCGTCCCCGGGTCAACCCCACCGTGCGCCGCCCCGAGACTGACGCGAATTCCTTTCTGGAGGCCCTGAGAAAAACCACGGCCCCACCTGACTCCGCCAAGTCGCCCCCGCCCCCCGTGAAGGGCCGCGACGCGGGCCATTCCGCCGCCAGGACGGCCCCGTCCGCCGTGCCGCGACAGGCCG